CACACGACATTCATTCATTCAAAACGAGGTCAACCAAGATCAACACTACAATCACTAGTAACAGATGATACTCCTTGGTACATTACTCTACAACCCAAGGCTGATATTATCAATATGATGATCAAGGCCGGGGTCCTAACAGTCTACCCGGGGATAACCAGTAGGAATCTGCTGAGAACAGAAAATGAGCCAATTCTACACTATTGATCAAATAACCCCTGATCAATGTACTATTGATCTGACAACTATGATCAATCAGAAGAAAGTCAACTAGCAAAGTACCTCTTCACCCTTAATGGGCGCCAAATAAACATGAATCCCGAGCACTTTACCATCTAACTATCCAAACCAATCAATGGGCACAAGACAATTACTTGGGGGAGGAAAAAAATCAGGAAATTCATCCATGGACTTTAGAGGGATAGAGGAGTCAACAGTAGTCCAATCATTCAAGACAAGGCGAAATTTTTTTTTAAGGGATTCCTGGACTTTTGCATGTCCACCTTCCCAAATTACTTTCCCCAGCCTCCCACCATGGTCACCTCCAAGCCAACTTCTGTTAAATTGATTAATGTGAACCCAAATCTCATTTGGATTAGATAGAAACTGAATTTTTTCTTTAACTTATTCCCATTTGATAGTTAAATCCTTTTGTACCTGTTGTTTGATAAATTCAGTAAATTCTGGCTCGTCCAATCGTGCACCCTCCATTTCAAAGGTACATCTCCTTGTCCAAATTGCCCATATGATCGCTCTCCTACCTATTAAGAACATGTTGATTGTTAAGTCATCTCCTTGGTCCGGATGCCATGCTTCCAATAAGAGGGTTTTCCATTCCCAGGGCCAGGATTGAGAAGTATTCATTTGATTCAAGATTCTATCCCACCAAGGGCCACCATATCCAAAGCAAGATTGACCCCGGGCATGGGAAGGCAATGCCCTTCTGTTTAAGAGATGACCTACCAATGATCCAATCATTCGTGGGATGACATCTGTGAGCAATTTGTCATTGAAGAGAAGCAATTTTGGCTGGTTTAGTTTTAGAAGCTTGGAACCATTTAATTTTTCTCAACTCGTTTTTACTAACATTAAGATTCTTATGCCATCTTTCTTCAATACGGTCTTTTAAGTAAACCTAGGTCGGAGCATCCTGTAGGATGCTTTGACTGTGAGAGTGTGTAGATTTCTAGGATGAGAGTGACTACGTTTCCCAAGGAGTGACCAGCACCAGCTAATGGGGTCAAAAGGAAGGTGAGAGATAGGAGTGTCCGGTCTAAAGGCAACTCAATTTTCATCAATCTTCAAAACTCTAATCCTGAAGAGTTGGTCATTTGAGATCCATCTAGTTTCCTCCTGTTGACCCTGGTAGAGAATGCCATCATCTTGAATTTGAAAAATGGATAGAAGAATTTGATTCTGGTTTTGGATCTCAATTATATTACCGACTATGCTCTTAATATTATGAAACGCTACCCAATCATTTTCAATAAATTTGGGACCCTTCCGTAGGATTATTATCCACTCTAGTGGGATTAGGTCAATTATCGAATCTAGAGTAGAAGTCTGATGGTGACTATATTTAAGCCGCTCATGCAGATCCGAAGCCGAACAACAGTCTCTGCTCTCTTGATTCCATAAATCTCTAACCCTTATTATTCCCCTGTTAATCCAACTTTTCCAGGGTGCATCCATACAATGCAGAACACACCCTTGGTCTACCCTAATAAAAATATTGTTGAAAAGAGACTGCTGACAAACTTCTTCCCATCGTGATGGGAAAACTTTATCTGGTATAGGCATCTTCCTCCAATTCTTTATAAGTATAATCCAAAATGGATCCCGCCTAAGATCCCTTCTAATTGCCTGCCTATCTGAAGTCTCCTCCTGATTTAGGTCCCCTTGAGAGCCTCTAGGTAAAGATCATGAAAGGTTTTCCAGCCACATTAGGGAATCTATGCGATCAGGGACTTGAGGAGCTAACCTTTTTATTTGTTCAAAGGCCAAGAAGGACCAAGGGGTGTTGGGATTGAATATAAGACGTTTGATTCACTGGAGAGAGAGAGTCATAGATTGAGTATGGGGATCGATTATCCTAAGTCCCCCTTTTACTTTAGGTTGGATAATGGACGACCAGACCACTCTGCTAATGACATTTGATCTTTCGTGATCCCCACGCCACAAGAAGGCCGCTAACTGTCTCTTGAAGAATTTAAAATTATTTTTATCCAAAGCCCAAAAAGCCGATTTATACCATATAGAGGTCAGTATGACATTATTAATTATTAAGGTTCTACAAAAAAAGAATGTCTGTTTATCCTTCCACAAATCAAGTTTCAACATTGCCTGTTGTAGGATCCCTTCATTGGTAGAGATGGGTTTACCTGTGACTAAAAGGGATACTCCTAGCACTCTGATTGGTTCGTTATGGTGCACCCAGTTAATGCAAGAAGGTTCCGGGGGTCTCACTCCTTGATGATGGATCCACCAACCTAGTGTTTTATTCCCCCAATTGACCTTCATATCAGAGAGTTTACAGAATGTATCCATTAGTCTTTTGATAGCTTCTAAATTTTCATGTGAAGCGTCAACCATCAGAGAGAGGTCATCAGCAAACAGAGAACAAACTGGAATTGCTTCCTCAGGAATAGAGGAGACCTAGATACGTCTGATGTTTTTATGATGTCTTATGTTAGCTGCTAAGGCTTCCATAATTATCACAAAGAGAAGAGGAGCAATGGGGTTACCTTGCCTTACAGATCTCTGAAGAGAAATGGGGGGTGCTACATTTCCGTTAACCATAACTCTTGTTGTGGCATTCTTATGCAAAATATTAATCCATCTCCTAAAATATGGTCCAAAGTTAAACTTCTCCAGACATTTATCTAAGAAGAACCAATCCACATGGCCATATGCTTTCTAGAAGTCAATAAATATAAATGCCACGTTATGCTTAAACTGACGAGAAATCTTGATGAGTTCATTTATGAGCAAAATATTATCTTGGATGTTCCTTCCTTGAATAAATCCAGTTTGCAAGGGATGAATAATATCCGCAATGTATTTATTCAGGCGAATCGTAAGGGCTTTTGAAATCAACTTATAAACCATAGTGAGCAGAGTGATAGGTCTGTAATTCCTAATGTTATATTTATCATATTTCTTATAGAGAAGGATCAACACCCTTTGCCCTACTATCTCCCCCATATCACATGAGTCCCATACTGCCTGATAAAAGTCCATGAGGTCTTGGGAGATGAATTCCCACAAGACCTCCCAGAGTTCTTTTGGAAGACCATCAATCCTTGGGGTCTTGTCTTATTCCATTAATAAGAGGGCAGTCCATATTTCATCTTTTGTTAGAGGCAATTCCTATTGAATCCAAGGGAATGTCTCTGTTTTTCGAAAGGAATAAATCCTTGAAGATGTCTCTAGCAATTTTAGTACAACCTGCTGTTGACACCTCTAGCGGCCCATTTAGAGAATGAGGATGCGTTAGAACCTCTATTAAAGTTCTACCTGTCCTTACTTTGGCCATGGGGAAAAATTTTGTATCCATGGCTCCCTCCGTATGAAAAATTGCGAATTCCATCCCGGATCTTCATACCTTGCCATCTGTATTTCATATGTTTAAGTAATTGACCTTCAAGGTCTTGAATTTCTTTAGCCATTTCATTTTGCATTTCTAGGTCTCTTTCCACATCTTCTGATTGTTGTAATTGATGAATACGTTGATATATACTAGTTTCAGAAGAATGACATTCCATAGCTAACACTTTCGAGTATTCATTACGACTTAAAAAGAGTAACCCATTATTGAACCAGAGTACCTCATTTCCTAAAATGATCCTCTGATTTCTTCAAAATGACCATACATCTTTAATAAATGATCTAAATGAGTCATTCTTAAGATGATTTGTATTAAGTTTATAAAAACCTCTTCCTTGATCTGGCTTCTTCCCAAAGGAGAGGATGGCAACGCACATGGCATCATCCAGACCCAAAAGGGGACTCCGTGGAAAGATTTATGTCATCTGTAGTGCACCTTTCAAATCCTCTGAGATAAAGATAAGGTCTATACGAGATTTTGTGAGCGATCTGGCTTGAATCCTTCGA